CAAAAGAATATATATATATATATATATATATATATATATATATATATATATATATATATATATATATATATATATATATATATATATATATATATATATATATATATATATATATATATATATATATATATATATATATATATATATATATATATATATATATATATATATATATATATATATATATATATATATATATATATATATATATATATATATATATATATATATATATATATATATATATATATATATATATATATATATATATATATATATACCATTTTATATAGGCGTGAATTAGGGTTTAACATAACCTCCGAATCAACTCTAATGGGATGTCTTATCTCGTAGAAATTCGATTTAAATCAAATAATTTTTTAATAGTTGTTGTTTCTCTCTCTAAATAATTTATATAAATACCCTTTTCCCCCTCACAAATAAAGAACATCTCAAACAAAACCCAAAAGAAATGGATTGTTTAAAAAAGTCTTCTCTTTTTTCTTTGCCAATTTTTTTGTTATATTTCTCCATAATTTTATCTTTCAACAATGGCGTTAATGCTTCACACAAAGTTTTTCCAGGGTTGCAATCTACAAGCACGGTTGATGTGAAAAATGTTCATAGAACTGGTTATCATTTTCAACCTCCTAAAAACTGGATCAATGGTACGTACATTTTTTCATACCTTCATTTATATAAATATTATTGTACGATTTAAGTTATACATTTCGATAATATAATATTTTTTTAATGTTATTAGTACAATAGTATACTACAATTAACATGTAAGAACAGGTTATAATTTTGTGGTGCATATATATATGTATGTGAGATAAGATACGATCATTGCATTCTATAATTATGACCTCATGATTTTTATCTTTTTGCTGTGTTTCTGAATAACTAGATTTTGTTTATTCAGCTATAATTGGTCATTGACTGGAAATATTAATATTCAGTTATTTTAATTTCTTACTCTGATGGCTTTTGAGTTAATGTCTATCGGAAATAGTCTCTCTACCTCCTCGAGGTAATGGTAAGATTTGTGTACGTTTTAACCTCTCTGGATTCATTTTAGTGAAATTTCATTAGATATGTTATTGTTGTTGTACGGCTTTCGAGTTAATGAAACTAAGTATGTAAAAAAAACTTAAGTATGTGGTTGCGGATGGTTGAGATTTTATCCACGCTTAATCAGTGATTTCAAGTTCGACTTGTTAAGAATGAAAAAAAATATATTGAAAACGCCAATCTTAAAGATGGACACTGTAATGTACGAATTCAAATTTTATCGTATGTCTCAACTCTCAACGTAGATATCCAACATCGAAGGAAGGAAAAAGATGAAACTACGTGATATTCATACCTTTTTTGGAAGTACTTTTGGTGTTATAGGTTTGTCAATGATTTGTTTCTTGTCTGTGTATGTTTTATTTTTATTTTATAGAAGAAGAAAATATTTAAATAAGAAATATTAAACTGCTGGAAATAAATATACTTCACTTGTTTTTGAACCACCACATTGTGGCAAGCAACTCTAGTAAGTAGCATTCACGTAAATATAATGGATATTGTACTCAACATGTACATACTAATTAATATATAGTATGTATTATACATCTCATCACATGTGGGTTGGATTTTATAGAGACCACTGTTGGAGGCCAAGTTGTGTATGTAATCTAATTGATAATAATGTATTCCTAGGGTGAAGTCAGAAATTTCGGGTGTTCAAGATTTAATATATATATGTATGAATAATAAATTTTGACTTATATATAAGGGTGTTTGATTGATCATCCTGAACTATCCCTCCATTTCAATTTACTTGTTTTACTTTTCGTCTTAATTCATTTTTTTTTCTTTTTTGACAACTATTATCTGATTCCTAATAGCTTTTCACATAACTTATTTAAGATCTACGCAATTGAAAAATATTTTAGTACATCTACAAATATTAAAGACCACAAAATTTAAAAGTTTACGTTATTTTCTTAAACTCTGTGTCAAGTCAAATGACAAAATTTCAAAACTTCTAAATATCGTAACGAGCAATGTATTAAGTGATAAGTTCAAAATTCATAAATTTCAAATCTCGACTTGTTTCCCTCTGACTAGGGTTGGGATTTGCTAAGTGACTGGGAAATCTCCTCTATGAAAGTTTTAAATAACCTTAGCTTTTTCTTAAACATTCGTACTAGAATCTAGTCAAACACCTTCACATAAATTGAAACGGAATTGACTTTATAATTTCTTTGTTCTGGAAGATCATAGCCATCTTGTTTACTTCATATTTGTTTCCTTTGAGATTTGATTAAACTAAATTCATTTAATTTGTAAACATATATATCTTATCATAATTTCATTAAGTTATATATTTGCTAATGAATATTTTATTTGCATGCATGGCCACCATCGGATGCTTCAAACGAACACAGATCCCAATGGTGAGTTAGAAAATTTCCCCCTTTTAGTAATTTTGTTAAATTTAATAATTGCATATTTATTTAATTATCTTTTTTATTTATAATTAATTATCTTTTTTTCTAATATAATCTTTTATACCAAACAGCCCCAATGTACTATAATGGTGTCTATCATCTATTCTACCAATACAATCCATATGGATCAGTTTGGGGAAATATTGTTTGGGCCCATTCAGTTTCAACCGACTTGATTAATTGGATCCCACTTGAGCCCGGAATCTATCCATCCGAAGTATTTGACAAATATGGTACATGGTCCGGGTCAGCCACAATCTTACCCAACAACAAGCCCATTATCCTCTACACCGGAATCGTCGATGCAAAAAATACCCAAGTCCAAAACTATGCAATCCCAGCCAACATATCCGATCCATTTCTTCGTAAATGGATCAAGCCCGATAACAACCCATTAATTGTCGCTGACGTTAGCATTAACAAGACCCAATTCCGTGACCCAACCACATGTTGGTTGGGTCAGGATGGTTATTGGAGAACCTTGATAGGGAGTGTGTGGGGAAAACAAGGATTGGCAATATTGTATAAAAGTAAAAATTTCATGAAATGGACCAAGATTCAACATCCACTTCATTCAGTTGACGGTACTGGAAATTGGGAATGTCCTGATTTTTTTCCAGTGTTATTGCATGGTACAAATGGATTGGATGCCTCATACAACAAGAAAAATATTAAACATGCTCTTAAAGTTAGTCTTGATGTTACGAGGTTTGAATACTATACAGTTGGTATATATGATACAAAAAAAGATAGGTATATTCCAGATAAGACTTCTATCGATGGTTGGAAGGGATTGAGGCTTGATTATGGTAATTATTATGCATCTAAATCATTCTATGACCCTAGCAAAAATCGAAGAATTATGTGGGGTTGGGCTAATGAATCAGATACTGTCAATGACGATGTCAAGAAAGGATGGGCAGGAATTCAAACTATTCCCCGCAAATTATGGCTTGATCCTAGTGGAAAGCAATTGGTCCAATGGCCTGTCGAAGAATTAGAAACTCTAAGAGAGCAAAAGGTGCAATTAAGTAATCGCAAGTTAAACAAAGGAGATAAAATTGAAGTTAAAGGAATCACACCTGCACAGGTTTGAATTTCTTGTTTTTTTTTTTTTTTCATTTTGTATCATATTGTTGCATAAAAAAAAGAGTCTAAATTAGGGAGTCAATGAGAATTGCAGGCTGATGTTGAAGTGACATTTTCATTTTCAAGTTTGGATAAGGCAGAGCCATTTGATCCCAATTGGGATAACCTTTATGCTCAAGATGTATGCGCCATTAAAGGCTCAACGGTGCAAGGGGGACTTGGGCCATTTGGGCTCTTAACTTTGGCTTCTCAAAATTTGGAAGAATATACGCCAGTATTTTTCAGAGTTTTTAAGGCCCAAGATAAATATAAGGTTCTCATGTGCTCTGATGCCTCAAGGTTTGTTTATTTTTTCTTTCAGTCTTACACCTTAACGACATAAATTAGGATTAAACAAGTTCTATTTAGTTTAACTCATAGTGATCATTTATATATCTAATATATTTCTATATATGAGGTTTATTATTGGAGGTTCAAAATCCACATAACTCATTATCAATAGTTTTGGTAAATCTATTATAGTTTAAAGTCTAAACTCATTATTTAACTTTAAGTTATCTATTTATTTTTCTTTTGTATGATGATCAGATCAACCCTCAAGAATGATAAGACAATGTACAAGCCATCATTTGCTGGATATGTAGATGTAGATTTAACAAACAAGACATTGTCTTTGAGGAGTTTGGTAAGTTTTTTTCATTTATTTTCCAAGAAAATAAATTCATTTCTCCCATATTCTTTATTTATGTATATCCCCATACTGTATTTTATTGATCTCACTTCCTATTTTTATTTACAGATTGATCACTCAGTAGTAGAAAGCTTTGGTGCCGGAGGAAAAACATGTATCACATCAAGGGTTTATCCGACATTAGCAATTTATGATAATGCACATCTATTTGTCTTTAATAATGGGACAGAGACTATCAAAATTAAGTCATTGAATGCATGGACCATGGGTAAACCTAAGATGAATTGGTCATTTGGTCACTCTTCTTATTGATGATGATAACACTTTGTAATAAGTTCCACATTTTTGTGGTGACATATTTGATTGCTCAAACATTTTGATGTTTGTTTTGGTGAATTTTGCTCGATATATTCTATATGGTATCTAAGCAGACATCTGTTTTCTTTTCGTATCAAATATGAATAATATGGTGAATATTGTTATACACTAGACCTTTTGTGTGAAAGTGTTTTGAGAGACATATAGTTATAACTTATAACACACAATATCTCTATATGTTGTGGATCCATACACTGCCAAAAACATGAAAAAATCAAGATAAAGCTGGCTCCTTTTTCTGGCAAAAAACCATAGCCTCATATAGACTGATCAAGTACCCCAATGCCAACGTTAAGTTTGTACATATATATATAGTCAACTAATTAATTAACAAGATCGATGACTTATATGAATAGCTAAAGGACATGACATGTGAACACTATATGCCAATAGTCCAATGAATTTTGCAAGTTGCAATATTTGAGGTTCATTTTACTTGACTTAAATTGGAAAGTTGTGAATCTCTTGTTGTATATACCAATGTGAAAACTAATACTATTGGAGTTGGAGGTCACACACACGCACTATAGAAATTTACTTAATACATAGTCCGATGTGTCATTTAAACATTCGAATTAAGTCGTTATAATTGAACAACTCAGTTTCTAATAAAGTGTTTTGATTAGACATTTTCGATTAAATTGTTGAAAAAAAGTTGCACGTGTTTTTATTCGTGTATTTGATAGTTAAGTTAACAATATAAAATGTCATCTTCTTTAGTTATATGCATCAACCTCGAGTAAACATGTAGAGGGTTTTATAGCTTATTGAGGCGAATGTATAATTAGAGAAAATGACATATTTTATATGGTTAACTTAAGCAGCTAATAGATGAATATTGTGGACACATGATTTTATTTTTCAAAATTTTAATAAAAAATATGTCTAGTTGAAGTATTTTATTAAGATCCATAAGATAAATCCAAACTCCACTTTCCACTTTTGGTTGGTTCGACCAACTGATCTAAAAATTAGTTGACATCCACAAAAGACATGCCCATCGCCCCCAAATTTTGACGTCAAAAAGTGGTGGAAATATTTATATATAAAATATAAGTAGAACACATCGGTTTAGTTTATTTATTATCCGCATGGCATAAAGTTTCTTGCATTTTTTAAATTAAAAATAGAGGAAATTAAAATATAGAACTACTAGAAATTTACTTCTTAATATAAAAAGGTTTTCATTTTTAAAACTTGATAGATATCTAGGTGAAAAAGTTTTAACTATTAGAAATTTACCTTTTATAGTCTAGAAAGATAATTGTGAAAATTAGTCTAATTTTTTTTTTAAAATAGCGTGGAACAATCTTAAAAGACATTATAATACGTTAAATTGGTGTCCGACTATAATACGTTTTAATGTGTTATAAACTTATAACAATTTTAAAAGGCATTATAATACACAATTTGCGATGAAGATATTTCACATAAAATTGAAGACCCTCTTTGGACACAAGTGCTTGACTAATTAAACAATCGACAATTTTATATTGACTAAAAATAGTTATTTTGAAATATTACTTGTTATTTCGAAAAGTCAGAAAAAATTATAATTATTTTCCAAGCTTACCACTAGAATAAGTTGCTTTATTCTTTTTAAAATGATAATTATTTTGAATCAGTTATTTATATCAAGCACAATAATTAAAATAAATTAATCAGACAGAGTAGTAGTGATAGTGCAAAACAATTTTATTTTATTTTTGTAAAAGTCGTCAAAATTATTGAACTCATAAAATTCAAAAAATATCTTTGCACATTGGACACACATGTAGCCTTGAGTGGAAAAACATATAGCGAACAACTTTCTAAGACACCAAATTTGACAATAGAAATAAAAGTCTTTGCCAAATTTCATCAGTATATTATTACTAATAAAAAATTTCGAAAATTAATTTATTTTATTAATCTGAAATCTTAACCAAAAACATTATAAAGTTGATCAGAAGAGGAAAAAGAAGTGAAAAAAGTTGGTCTGAAATTTATATACGTAGCGTTATATAATAAAGATTACTATGAAGTAAATATATCAAAGACAATTATAGAGGAAGACTAATAATTATTCAACTTCTGATAAATAAATAAACTGAATTGACTTCCTATTTATAGGAAGAAGAAAAAAGTTGTTGCGAAACTTTTCATCAAGTAATTGTAAGGCTTTTCAGAAGTTATTCATAAGCTACTTAAGCTAGCTACTTGCAACTTGTCTGTTTAATTGCAAGTCTGAGAAAATTATTTACAAGTTATCTGCTTAAGCTACTTACAAGTTATTTACTTAATTTTATGTTTATTCAGAAAATTGTATAGTAAATATCAATAATACGATGTATTTATAATATGATATATATAGATAATTGTTGTATGATGTGTAGTGCACATAATTAAATCTACTCATTTAGGTTCAAATGTCAATAAATAATATTATGCTAATCTATTTTGAGGCTATCACGTTACTCGCCCCTCTATCTAGCCCAAAACATCATGATTTTCTTTTCTTTAATATTAATATAATATAATATATAGAGTTGAAGATTTTTCAAGATGTTTCCAGCTTTGAAAAAGAAATTGAGATATGATTTCTCTTGGATTAATTCAACGTAGTCCCTTTGATAATATATAACACATGTATCTCTTTATTAATTTTATTGGCAATTAGTTTTCATATCAAAATTCTATTAATTTATTATATTTAAGTTAAAATAAAATAAAATAAGAATATTTACTAAGTCATTACGATTTAATAAAAGTTAAGAATGTATTGGAGAGGATATACTTCTATTCTTTAATTTAAAATGGTTTAATTTAATATTATCACATCTTTGAACGATTTCATTGATTCTTTTTAGATAATTCCAATTTTTTTTAAAAGCAGATATAGCTGAAAATTGGTTATATTTTATATTTATTTCATAGAGCGCAAGAAAAAATAAATATTAAAAACAACATATCAAGAGGATAGTCAGTTTCCCTTCTTTCTTCTCAACAGTCAATTCGATAAATTTAGACTGAATTAATTTTCTTAGATTTTAAATTTAAATATTCAGAAATTATCTGTAAGATACTGTTAATGTAGACTAAATATTTTTCATATAATAATGGAGAAGTACATCTTGATCTAATTTAGGAAAATGAACCAACAAAAGATGTGATACAGTGTATAGAGTTAATCTTTTTTAATCGGGAATTTCTATTTTGAACTTAGTTGGATATGAAAAAAATCATTGGCATAGAGTGATACTCCCGAATGGATCACTATATATATTTTTAATTATTTTTTAATTTTTTAAGGATCACTATATATTAATCAACACAAATTCAAATTAGTCAAGCTCCAATTTGAGTGCTAAACATCTGACAAGAAATTAAAAATAAAATAAAATAAAATTAAACAATATCAAAACATGTCGAATAAAACTACATACGCATCACTCTCAAGGGCTTTATTTGTGAGATCTTTTAGGTATATATGTTGTTGTAGACAGAACTATATATAATGGATTTAATACAATTCTTTAAAAAAAATCAATATTCTATCAAAAAAATTCTTAAATTAATTGTTTTCCCCATTTTCTCTGGCATTACGTTAGGGTCCACCGTCACATAGTCAACTTGTAAAAAAGGTCCTTATTTATTATAAAAGAGATAAGAAAGACAAAATAAGGTAGATCTAAAATACAACTTTATAAAATAAATCTTGTTGTATCATATGTTTAGTCAAATGAATGAACTGTAAATTTGCCAACTAGCCACCCCCAACTTGTGTTATGTAGGCACAATTAATTTATTTTTTGGTTAAAAAGAGACATTATTTAATTCACAACAATATTATATTCAGTATAATTTATAAGTGGATCTAAAAAGAATAGTGTGTATGCAAATGTTATTTCTATCTTTTAAGATAGAAAAGTAATTTTTGATAGATCATGGACTCAAGTAAAAACGTTACAAGACAGTCCGAAAAAGGAAAATAATGAGAGAAAAGAAGTCAAGATAAAGGGTGTGTTTGGTATGAAGGAAAATGTTTTCTTGGAAAACAAGTAGATTTTTGACTTATTTTCTTATGTTTGGTTGGTGACTAGAACATATTTCCGTAAAAAGATTTTTTAGTATTTGATTTATGAATGAAAATTATTTTTGAGAAAATATCTTTTATTTTTACTAGAGAGTAGAAAATAATTTTTGAATTGAAATTGAAACTGTTTAAAAAAAAATAAACTTCTTTTTTTAGGGGGAGGGTGGGGTGGTGGGGGTGGGGCTG